AATTTTCAAAAAATATAAGCAACATTAAGGGGTGACTATAGAAAAATAACACGTAGGGACACAGTTGTCATTTATTTACTGGCCAAACTCCCCTACTGCCCAATACCACTTTGCAGAGATCTACACCAACAACCTGTACCCTACTACTGTCCCCACTGTGTTTGAATAGAGACTAATACTTTATAAACTGGTTCTTATTCTGTACCCATAACTGATATAAAATCATTTTTTAAACAATGCTATGAAAATAAACAGCAAAATAACTCAATAACTAACAAGAAATTATTCATTCACCTATTTGTTCATTCATTCATTCATTCAAGCCAAAATGCCCTAAAACAGAATGGTATTCTTAGTAATAAACTTAATCTTGTCATAAATAATGCACGGGTCCTTTCTAAGACATTCTTACTCTGTTTATATTTCCTGAACTTCGTCTGGTATCTTACATAGAGTGGACATTATAAATTCTTGAGGAAGGAAGGAAGAAAGCATAAGAGGAAAGAAGGAAAGAAAACTTCAATGCATTTGCTTATGTAATTGAGGTAACTAGATATGTGATGTTTTTTATGAAGTAAAACAAGATGGAAAATGGGAAATAAGATATAATGTTAAGGGGCCCCATGAATTTGGAGTAATAACTGGTGATTTGGGCTCTAAGGGACTTTTTTACTCTTTTTGATTCTTAACCTATGTTCTCTCCTATTCTTTGTTCCTTATACAGGAATGATAAATGTACACATTTCACTGGGTGATATTCATATCTGGAATCTGATCACATATCATTCTAAGTTTAAGAACTCACTGCATTCTTTTATATAGTGATATTTTGTATTGGTTAGTCCTTGTGGAAAACATGGAAGATAAAACTACACACCAGGGCCGGTCGAGTGGCGCGTTGGTTAAGAACTGGCTTGGGACGCAAGAGGGCCCCGGTTTGGATCCCACATATGAGGGCCAGTGACACTGCCCTCTACAGCTAAGATGCTGAACAGCAGCTCAACCTGGAGCTGGGTTGCCTTGAGTCACTGGCGATGGCGTAGGCTGCAGCCCCTGTGGCAGTGGGTTGCCATGGGCTAACGTATGTAGCCAGCAGCCAGCGTGAACGGCCAGCAGCTGCAGTGAGCAGCCGTCCAGAAGCCAGCGACTGATGTGCCTCGCCTGGGAAGAGCGCAATGATGGTGCCAGCTTGGGCCAGTGAAGCAACGTCCTCCACAACTAGACTGAAGAACAAAAGGACAGCAATTTGTCTGTTCCCCTTCCCCCCAATTCCCCAATAAAACTCTTTAAAAAAAAAGTCCTCCCTTTAAAAAACAAAAAAACTCCACCCCAAAAGTTTTGCATTTACAATACTTCTGCGAAATAAGTCCAGGTATCACCATCCCAGCTAATTTTTTCTGTAGTGACTTGGTTTTCAGACACTCCCATTTTTCCAGTTTCACTGTAGTTTTTCCTAAGGACTTGGAGTCTGGAATGACAGCTATATTTCCAATTGCTTTACAACATTTTATTTCCAGTACATATCACCTCGCAATGTGTTCTCTTGTGGCACATTACGGGATCATTAAATTAAAAATGAAATGTATAGTTGATGATTGACTGCTCTCTAATTACCCAGAGTGTTTGTCAAAGGCAGTAGGCAGGAGACATCAGCTCCATTTTGCTGTTATATTGACTGTCAGGTTTATAGCATCTCCCTGCTAACATGGAAAACTTCCCCAAAAGGTATACTTAGCGGAGCAGACTTTTGCAAGTGGAATAAATCCCCCTCGGCATCAGAATAAACAGACAGTGAAGAAAACGATCTAGTGATCAAATTGTTTTATCCGGGCCTTAAAAATAAGGAGTTTACATAGGATCAGTGTTTCTCAAACATTTTTCCCACTATTAAGACCTTTTAGACTCTTTTCCTAATAGCTCACCCATGAATTTTTAATACTATAGAATAATTTTTATCTGTTTATGTACTGTGGTCCTTTGCAGGACTATAAACCATTGTAATATCTAAACTTTTTTCTCCCTACCAAGAACAATTTCCACCCTCTTGAGAATGCATGTCTTACATTATGCTTGCTAGTACATACTGATTGAGTTCAGATGATGTTTCAACAAGACTCTATTCAAAGCTACTCTATTCGGGAGTACACAACTCAAGTGGATGTAAGATAGAAAATGGTTCTTTAGTAAATCATATATTTCCAACTGAGAGATCAAATCTCATTCCTCTCCTAAAAATAAGAAAGGCCTAACAATATTAAAGAGCATAGGGTTGCCAAGTAAAAATGGTGCTCAAGTCCAAAATCTTGCACCCACAATTCAAACTCTTCCCCATACAGAAAGAGGGGCAGGCTTTGCAGAAGGCATAAGACTATGAGCTTGAGATAGCTACCACCACATTTGCTTGTCCATTATCGCCCATTTATTGAGCTCTGACTATGAAGACTGTTAGGTCCATGAGGGTAGGGATTGTATTCAATTTTGCCCACCATTGTAGAATAAAGGAAAGAAAGAAGGAAGGGTGAAAGGACGGCAAGGCACTATGCTAAGTGACTTGAAAACTGCCTCTAACAATATTATATTTAGAGTGAAGACAGATATGTTAACACATCAATAAAATGAAATATTATCATTCTAATGGAAAAGATGTGTAGATATGGTGAGGTTACAAAGCAGTGGTTAATTCTATCTGGTTAGAGGTGGGAGCAAACTGAAGCGGGTTATGAAAATGATTAGAGCAATAAGGTTATAACAGGACTTTGGTGGGCTCCAGGGCACTCCTGGCTTGTGGCCTCTTTCCTCCATAAAACACATTTAAATACAATCATAGTACAAGCAGATGAGTACGATTTTCTGGGCATTCTAGGAGCACATTGCCAGGAGGTCAGGCAAAGACCTCCAGAAAGGCAAGCTGTTTGAAAGAGACCCTAAGGACACACTGGAAGAGTGGCTGAGAGAGAGGGAAGATTGTTCTAGGCAGAGGGAACAGCTTCTGCAAAGGCCTAGCAGTGAGGAAACTATTATGATTGATGAAAGAGAGACAGAGACAGATGAGAGATGAAGTTAGAGAGAGAAATGAAGGCTGTCAAAGCACAGCGGACCCTGTGATAAGGAGTCTGGCTTTACCCTAAAGATAAGAAGTGATTTAGTGAGCACACAATGGAGTACACAGATGTCATATTATAAAGATACACACTGAAAATTATATAATGTCATTATCAACCAATGTTACCCCAATAAACTTCATTTAAAAAACAAATAAAAATAAAGCTTCTCTGTCAGGAAATAATAGGATTAGGTTTGCATTTTGGATATTCATGCAAGCGACACTATGGCCAATGGACTGGAGAGGGTGTGATCTGAAAATTATATAATGTCATTATCAACCAATGTTACCCCAATAAACTTCATTTAAAAACAAATAAAAATAAAGCTTCTCTGTTAGGAAATAATAGGATTAGGTTTGCATTTTGGATATTCATGCAAGCGACACTATGGCCAATGGACTGGAGAGGGTGTGATGGATATTCTGGGGGTCCATCAGGCCCCCTCTTCAGGGCCCATGTACCCACCCCAAACCTCGGGAAATACTGGCTTTTGAAGGCTCACAGCTAAGTTCTTCAGTGGGGATTGCTCCCAGTCACAGGGAACTCTCTGTCCCAAGGGCAGACCCTCTCCCAGACAGCACCATGGCCATAACTGGCCACTGTGGAGATTCAAGGGCCCAACCATCTCATCCAATCAGGGACAATCTCAGTTCCTAAGCTCCCTGAAGGACTAGCGGAGGCTTCTGTTGTAATCACGTTGCTGGTCACTTCTCCCTCTGCCTAATCCTACTTTATTAGTTTCCTATTGCTGCATAACATATTACCACAAACTTTCTGGCTTAAAAAGCACATTTATCATCTCCCAATATCCATGGGACAGAAGTCTGGGCACAGCTTAACTGGGTCCTCTGCTCAGGCTGTGAACAAAGTATTGGCCAGTTTGCATTCTTATCTGGAGTCGATATCCAGGGAGCAACGCTGGAGGCAGGGAAGTGAGCTAGAGACTGTGACTGAAACATCAACTATGGGTGATGGCAGCGGGAGACTGAGCACCACATTTTCTTTCTATTAATACATGTATAATAGTTATTATTAGAATTTAGAAAGACACATGGCCAATCTGAAAGGAAAATCAAGTCTAAAAATTACAAGGTGTCTTCAGGCAAGGATACACAGAACAGAAATAATTCATTTCCAAGGCTGTAGAGCAGATTAAATGTAACTAATAAAAACTACACTTATGTTCTACAGTGTGAAAATAAACTTCAGACCACAATCAGTCACATAATCAAAAAGAGATGATTATCACTTTATTACATTGCATAGATTGTACTTTTACAAATTGCAGAAATAGCCAACAAATAGCACTGCCTTATTAGAGACTGACAGTCAGAAAATATATAAGCAACTGTTGGTATGATAACAGGATTAAATTCCACCTTGTGTATCAACACTTCCATTTTTATCCATCCCATTTACGTTTTATTCTTGCTTACTTAGTTGTATACAGTGTGATATAAACAATATTCAAAAAGCATTCATTTTCAATGATTTCTACATCATATCATAGATATTCTCCACTGGATAAATATTTTTTCTTCAGCCTTCAGAGTATGAAATATTGGGTTGTCGGAAAAGTCATGACACATTTTTTCTATGTTTTTCATTGCAGAAATGCGTCATGACTTTTCCGACAACCCAATATATATGTGTACATAGTGACCTGACCTTATTTCTGGAAATGCTTAAATACTGATGCATTTTTAAATCAATAATTACAAACACCACATGACTACATTCCCACGCTGTGTTGTCAGAGAAATCTTTCAGAATATTTGGAGTAGTCAACATCTTATGATTTCAATGGTCTTTGCGAGTATAACTGACTGCCTTTCACTTGCATGCACATTTCTTAAAGAAGAAGAATGGTGAAACAAAATCTGTGATCTGCCTTTGATAATTTGTGGTGCTCAACAGTTGCACAAAAACAAGTGTTGAGATTCTTGGGGAAGCAAAGCAGTAGCCCTTCAGAGAGGGGTGAGCCGCTCTTCCTCTGTCATGAAGGTGTCATTAATGTGCCCTCCCTTCATATCCAGGGGGTCACAGGGGATGCCATTTTCAATTGTGACTGTGTTTTCACACTTATCTTCAGTGTCATCCATTTCCGATGGTCCTTTGTTATTCCTAAATGCACATAAAAAGAATGATTAGGATCTGCGAAGAAAACGCATGGTCTTCTGTACAAACAGGGAGAGCAGGAAGGGAAGAGGAACCTCGGAATGATGAAATAATTGATGACTGTGTACTTTCAAATAAGTTTCAAAGATCATAAAGAGCTGATGAGGTGAAAAGATGCTATCAAGAAATTTGCATGGATGAGATATACATATTGATCAGAACGAGTGGTCTTATTTGGAAAAGCAAAGTAAATATATACAGATATGTATATAAATGAATATCCTTGTATATGTATATTTATATGAATGGATATGTTTGTATACACACATATACACATATACATTCATACAGACACAAAATGGAATATGAGGAAAACGTATGGTAAGTTGGCAAGTTAAAAAAAATTAGCTCTGAGAGAACTGCACAAAAATTGAATTTAAAAAAGTAATAAGTTCCTCTCACAGGATTTGACAAATCAATGGTCTGTAAATGTTGAGTGAAAATCAAATTACCATGAGGTATCAAGAAGCAAATTCACGGCCTTTTGAGCATTTTGAGCCTCGCCTCTGCTCGGGCCCGCTCCAAGCTCCTCAGAGTGTGCTTTCTCTCCTAATAGTGACTCCCTGGCCCTGGCCCTGGGCCCCCTTGAGCCTTTTGAGCTTCCTTCGCTCGGCCTGCTCCAGACTCTTTGGAGTGCACTTTCTTCTCTAATAATGGCCCTTGAGCCATTCTCTACTGCTCGGGCCCGCTTCTGCTTCTTTGAAATGTACTTTTATTTCTAATAAACTCCTTTTCTGCAACTTTTTTTAAAAATGAAGCAAACTCACATTTCTTCATAGAAATGTAGTAACTGTTATAAATTGCAGATATCACTGCTTGGCTCCACTCATTACAAGATAGTTGTGTTCATTTTTAAGTTGGGTTTTGGGAACTCAGAAAACATTTTACTGATTACATTGCAACTCACAGCTATCATTCCAGGCCATTCCAAAACTCTATATGACAGAATCAATTTTGAGTTTTTCATTCTCAGACCCTCTGTAGACCCTGCTATCCCAACCCAACTGGTAACCAGACCCTTAATATTTCCTTGGAATGTGGAAAACTATAGCTTTGGATTCAAAGGTTCTTCCTGTCTTTTGTGAAAGATCAATTATGCTTGATATCATAGAGCTAGAAGGGGCAGAAAAGAGAGGTGGGGTCCTCTAGGCAACCAAAGGGGGGGAAGAGTGTCCCTGAGGCTTATCACAAGTTAGGTGTTGGGGCCCCATGGAGGCAGGATGTTAAGCATAAGGTTCCCAGACTTACTAAAGGTCCTATTGTCCCTGGAATCTCTGGGAACTCCAAAGAGGCAGACCTGAACAGGTCACATGGCTGGGATGGTGGGAATTGCAGTGGTGACCAGTATGGACTCCTACCATGGTGGACGCCCCTTAGAACCTTGGTGAGTCTTTGGCAGGAGAGGAGGTGGTGAAGATACCCCAGTGATGAGTGAGGTACAATTTCCTATTACTCCTACATGAGAGTTCATTTTACTGTGCTTTAAAGAATGGTATAGGGAGGGAGAGAAACGCGAGAGCTCTTATTTACAAAAGAATGGCAGCTAACATAGAAGGAGTAACAGAAATAGAAAATCACCATTACAATAATAATCGATTGTGCTGAGGCTCATCAATGGATATTAAACCATGGAGTGAAAGATGGGTAGGGAACAGAATAGTCACATGGTTGCGATGTGTCACCCCCACAAACAATGTACTAATTATAAAGAGACATTTGTCTTTTGTCAAGGAAGAAATTTAGTGAAAATCACCAACAATGAGATAAACTGGCAAGTGCTTCTAGATGAGATACACTAAAATTACACGTTATATATTTAATTCTGTGTTCCTGCTCCACTTCATCACCAAATTTTTTTACTTGAATCTCTCAGGAGGAAGTCATCAGACAAATCCAAATTTAAAGATACTTTGTAAAACAGCTCATGTGGACTCGGTAGAGAGTAAGCTTAGAGTTGGATGGATAGACACATGGGTGGCTGGCTAGCTAATTAGATGGATGGATGATTGGATGGATAGATGGATGGATGGATGGATGGATGGATGGATGGATGGATGGCCTAATGCTGTAGACAAAGTTACTCAGACAGTAGCCCAAGGTCGAACTTGAATGGGATCCACCACAAGAAAGAGCAAGAAGGAAGGGAGGGAGGGGACATACACATGTGATATTTCTTGTATCTCTTGTTATTTTTTCAAATGGATGGAAGAAACTATTCATTTTCCTACCTTAGGAATTAGGAGTTAGTATAGATTTTGCCAGGCTTTGCTGATGGTTTATTAGATAATTTCAAATTGCTGAAGTTCATAAAGCAAGGTAAAGTAGCGTTTCAATACTGTAGATCCATCCCACTGTCATCACTTGAAAGGGTTTTGCCATTGTATACACCACTGTTAAATGTGTCACTACAGACCCAATGCTGGGTTAGAAGCCAGGGGCTGTAGTCCCAGAGACCCAGGAACGGATAGGCTGCTGTGTTTTTCCATCCTCAGAGTGAAGACACTGCACTGGCCCTTCCAAGCATCAGTGATCAGCTTTCAGCACAGGCTGGGGTGGGCATAGACTTTCACATGATGAGAAGGTCCTCCAGCCTGGTGAAGTCACCTACCAAGGACTAGAATATTTTGGCCCCTCCTCCTGTGGACAGGAGTATCGTCACTTTACACGTCCTCCAGAAAGCAAAAGCATTTGACATGCTATAACCACCAATCATATCACTTCATTCATAGAATGCAACATTCATTCAGTAACTATGTTTTAAGTGCCTACCATGTGTTGGAAGAGACACAGTCCTTGTCTTAAAGTGAAAAGAAAGGACTCAATAAAAAGGAAAAATTCCAAATTTCACTCATACCCGCACCATTTTTTATGGATTATAAAAGAGAGGAGTGATGTTTCAGTAGGGAGGAAGCCCTGGTAACAAATGTATATTTATAAATTAACATCAAAAAATCCCTAACTCATACAATTTCCCCCCAAATCACCTCTCACTGGGCTTAGAGTGAACAATAATCTCTATAACAATAAACAGATTTTAAACAGTCAAATATTACCCTGAAATTTCTGTATGTAAGTGTGAAAGCCATATTACAAACATCTTCGTGGATGGAGCAGTGTGAAGTAGGTGGCAATGTAACAGGCTCTTAGAAATAATGGTTGCCAGTGTTTATCAGTTTCTTCACTTAAAACCTGTTTTTGCGGAGTTAGAAGAAAAATCGCAGGCAGTTGGACCCATGCAGATCACTGCAAGGAATCGTGCCTGCCCCTCCCCAAGCACAAAGGAAATATAATCCATCAGGCATCAGGAAGGACTTGGGGAGAAATAAAAGGAAGATGCAAACAAGATGAGGGGACATTTCTCTTCTTTAGAAGGAGGATTTCTCAATCACAGCGATTCCGAGCGAAATGGCTGTGGAGATTTATGAAGCTTTGTCAGTGGCAAAGTAGATACATGTTGTTTTTTTGTGACCTTAGAGCCAGTTGTTCAGAGTCTTGGCATTGCTGGGCTTCACAAACTGCAGCGTCAGTAACATGGGGGCTGGTGGACACGATAAGCAGCTCAAAGGTTATCTAACAGTAATACAGCACTTTGTCACATTTCATAGGGTGTACTGTAATAAACTGATTCACTGCCTGTGCCTTGTGCTTACTAAGAATAATAAAACTTAACTATCTTTCTGGATCATTCTGATTTGATGTTCGGCTAAAAACATGACTTCGCTGTCCTGAAAAATAAAATTGAGTGTTCATGACTTCCACTGTTCCTGCAATGTCAGGTACCTCAGGAAGAGGATGTTAAAACGTGACTAAAATACTTGAAACAGGTTCCTAGGAGCCTTGAGAGTGAATATCTCTGAGATCCAGAGAAAATAGGGGACAAAATAAGTATCGAGTGACCCTCAGAACTACTGCGTGTTAAGGAATAGGGTTTGCTCGAGATAAAGTAGTGGCGGCTAAAAGCAGAAAGGGTATTTCTGTCTCCCTTCAAACAAGATAGGGCTGAAGAGCCAAGGCCCAAGAATAGCCAGAAAAACAACAACGGACAGACAAATATGATTTTTAAACACAGGATCAGTTATTGGTGAATTGGGACTGTCCTCATAATGAATATGCATGGTTCCTGGGGGAACCAGTGCTGCTGGAACGATTTCAGGGGGCACTGCAGCACGGTGAGATGGGTGGCCATTGGAATCAAGCCCATCTAGTTTTAAATACTGGTACCACTACTTTCTAACCATAACACTGCAGGCAGGTTGCTTTATATCTGCCATGTGATCGTGATCATAACAATAATTAATATCTATTAGATGGCAGAAACCAGAATGCTTTGCATACATCATCTCATTTAATTCGCATTGAAATATTATACAGAGTGCATTAGTATCCCTGTTTTTCAGATGAAGGAGCTCAGACTCAAGCACGTAGAGCAGCTTGTCTTTCAGAATGGAACAAGACTGGTGGAAGGAGTGGACCCAGAACTCTATTTAGTCTCTTCAGGCTTCACTCAAAACACACATTTGATTCTTATTGAGTATGTACATTTAAGAACAACAAAGAAAAACAGTTATTAACTCTAAAACTTCTTCAACAATGAGGGAGCTAGGTGGAAAAGATTATTCTCATTTTCTTTATGTGACCTACTCAAGGTCACTGAGATGATAAATGCCAGGGCTTGAGACTGGAACCCAAAACCAAGAGCACTGATCCAGTGCTCCTTCTATTAAAACACACACCACAGCGTCAACTTCATCACCATCACCATTATCACATCACCCTCACCATTATAACCGTCATCGTCAACATCATCACCACCACCATCAGGATCACCATTATCACTACCATCGCCTTCATCATACAGCTGCCCACACAACCAAAACATCTCCTTCTGGTCTGGTCTAGACACGGGTCTAGTATGGAAATCATTGTGAAGCACATGCACTTCATCTTGTCTCCCTCCACACTAAAGGCTTTGGGGGCAACTCCTATCTTTCCCATGATGAGAACGGGCTTTCATCACAATTATCGGGGCCCTCCCCACTTTAAACTGCACCCTCTCCTCACCTTTGAAGCAATACTTTGCCCAAGAGAAACCCACCACAAATTGCAGCAAACTTAAAACACAAGTCAATTTATCCTCAGGAGGTTGTCATCACTGTCCTGACTATATTTGTTAATTATTGATGTTCTCCAGGTTTACAAAGAGATTTGTCCATCTGTTTTCCTAGTAGGAACACGAAATGAATTTGTGAAGGCAAAATTGTGACAACAGCCTCACTTCTCCCAGGCAACAGATTATGATGCTACACACCCAGTTATGACATTACTGCAGAATCTTCTTAGAAGGAAAGAGATAGCTGATCCCATCACAAACTGGCTGAAAGATCAGCAAATGGCAGGATAATAAAATAATAGTAACAGCTAACACTTATTGAATGCTCACTATGTGCCAGGCATCACTCTAAGCACTTTACTATATTAACGTTTTTTATCCTACCAAGTTAATTATTTCCAGTATAACTTGCTGTTGCTCTAGCAAAGTTATCTATGCAAAGATAGCAAAATAATAATAATGATAATAACAACAATAATAATAATGGTAATAATTTAACCAATTTGACTCTAGTACAACAAACTATATTCTCCTGAGCTTCCCAGTTTCCCTACCTCATTGCCTGTGCTTCCTGGTAGCCACACAGTTAATGGATTCTATATAAAAGCAGAATCTAGGAGATAAATACTTGGAATCTAAACAGTCTATCTCCAGAGTCCATTTTTCTAACTCTTACACTATACGGTACAAGAGAGAAAATTGAGAACCAAGGAGATGAAGTGAATTCACAAAGGTTACAATCAGCAGAAACCATAGAACACACATTTTAGGATTAATACAAAACTTAAAAATATTAAACATAGGTATTCAAATATTACAAGAGAATCCGTCTTAATATTCTTTTTCTAAAAAACCAAACCGTAACAAACAACTTGTACCAAGTCTCTTTGCATTACATGTCATGCCAAGATCAAGAAAATCAAGAAAGCACAGCTTGATCTTAATCTTTGAGTTTAACTCAGGGACTAGACATAAGTCACATTTATTCCATAGCATTTCCCTTATCATTTGTGAAAACATTTACAAAGCCCAAGATTTACAATGATTACCTTCTGTTAGTAACTAGGCTGAAAAATATGGACAGTAGTAAACCTAAGCAGAAACATTAAGTTAAACACACACTTGGCCAAACACATAGCACATATCCTGTGTTGGCACCAATCTTTTTGAAAACCAATGCATGTCCCTGTGATTCCCACTTACCAGAACCCTTCTTCCTCAGTATTAGAAGGGAAGGTTCAGAAGCATGACAGTGTCTAGTGAAGAGCTGAGGACGCTCTCCACTTCTCCTCTGGATGAGAGGTACTTGTAAACAAAATTATTTTCTGATGCAGGGAGTTGATTCAAAGGCCACTTTGAGGAACACAGTCCTATGTAGCATCACAGGCACTAGAAGCATGAGCATCCGTCAAAGGGAGGGAAGCATAAAGCAGCAACGAAGGATGTGGGACAAGATGGCGGCTGCAGGCACTGGGCCAAGAGGTGGCCAAGTTGGGGATGCATGGAAAGAGCTGTGGAGCTGCTAGCATTTGGGTGCAGATGACTTCCAAAGATTAACTCTGCCTACCCAAAAGGTCTGCTTCCTCTCTATATATCCAGCTTACACAATCATAACATGGATATTAAAAATGACTCTGGATAGGTACCATTCGTGTGGTGTAGAAGAGAGAGAACAGTAGAAATGGAAGGAGCCATCATTAAGTAAGGGACATTGGACTCCAAAAAGTCTTAAAAGCAAGAGCATAAGTGTTGAAAATCACTTTTTTTCAAAGTTTCATATATAAGGCATTCGTTTCAGCTAGGGAAAATCCTCTCCTTATTTTTCCAAATCTTAACAAATAGAAAAATGCTCTTTAGATCACTCCCTTTCAATATCTTACCTTCTACGTTGCCGGATTCCTGATAAAACCAATAGCGTGATTGCAACTATGACGATGCAAAATATCACACCAAATATAATAATCCAGATGGGCATAGATGGGTCAGTGGGTGGTGCAAGAGTGGAAGGGATTTTTAAAAACTCCAGAGTCTGGTCATTCAAAAAGAAGGCATTGTTGATCCGGTTCCTATTCATCCTAAATTACAATGAGAATCAAAAACAAACAAGACAAGACAAAAAGAACATTAGAAACAGGAGGTACCGACATATCTCTGCATGATTACAACTATCTCTGTAAACACAGCATCCTCGTAGCAAGAGGCTTCAGGCTGACTACACATTTTGATGAGGGCAGTGATGCTGTGGTACCCTTTTCATAAGCTGCAGTGCTGACTGCCAGAGAGGTACTCTTCTATGCACTACTGCCCTCCATTGTTTTGAGTGTCCTAGAAGTAACTGGAAGTCCTGAGCTTTGTGCTCTGCCCACATGTGTCATTTCTTGAGAGGTAGCATCTAGACTAAAATGACAAGACTCTATTTAAGGTGATTTACATAAATTCTAACAGCCCTGAAAGATAAAATTATATGTTAAAAAGTGGTGATAAATATGACAACAAAAGAAAACCAGGAAGAGAAAAAAAATCATGAAGCTTGGAGCAGCTGCAAATCCATCAACTTGATTTTTTTTTCCAATAAATATTTGCTGAAAATGTATGAAGTACAAGATAATGTGCTAGATGCTGGAGAAACAAAGTGAAACAACAATACAAAGGGGGTTACAGCCCAGAAGAAAGGCAGATCAGCCCCTCCACAATCACAGTGCAGTGCAAAATGTTCTCTGAAAGAGGCAAATATGGGCACAGTGGGAGCACCGTGGAGGGCTAAGTATATCCCAGTGAGAAGTCAGGGCTGCTTTCCTGAGATGCAACTTTCGAGCTGTGTTTTGAGGAACAAGTCGGAGTTCTTTAGACCCCAGTGCATAGTGAGCCCAGGAATGGAGATGTGGTATGGTATGATTTGCTAAGGAAACTGCAAGTAGGTCCACGTGACGAAAGCAAATGGTGCTTTCGGAGTCCAAAAGTCTAGAAAACTTAACGGTAAATGTGTTACCTGTGGAAAATCTGCATTTTGGGTGGTGGTAGCAGTTAGGGAAAGGCGAGTAGCAAAGTGTTATCTGACTGAAACCAAAAAGGTAAATTTCTGACTGGGATTTTCAAACTAGATGAGGATATTTCTCAGAGATATTGTATGGCCTTTACAGAATTCACACTAGACAAGCTGACTTCATCTACCTCTAGAGCAGCACTGGAAAATAGAAGTATAATGTGAGTCTCACAAGTGACTGCACATTTTCTAGGAGCTGCATTTTTTAAAAAAAAGTAAAAAGAAACAGGTGAAATTAATTTTGATAATATACTTTTGCCCAATATATCCAAAAACATATAATTTCAACATGTAATCAGCATCGAGTTGGTTCAATGTATTTTGTACTGTCTTTCAAATTCCGTGTGTACTTTACACTCAGAACATATCTAATCTTCCACTGGTGACATTTCAAGTGTTCAACAGCCACACATGGCTGGTGACTGATGTACTGCACAGTGAAGGTCTTAAATTTGATAATAATGGCTTGAGAATGTCTGCAGATCTGCACCAGACTACCAGGAAAGACCTCCTTTAGTAAATAAAAATGTATACTAAAGCATGATTATTCATAAATACGAAGGAGAATCCCAACCAAGTATTGCACAGCAGATAATTTCAATGTAATTTTTTTCCAAACTATAGAATGTTGTTGTTTTTTTTCACAAACTAATATTGATAATCTGGGAATACGAACCTTCCCACAAAATCATGAACCCCACTACTAAGGTATAACTCAGAGTAAAATGAAAAGTTGCTCTGCATTCTCATTTTGTCTACCCGGTTGGCTAACACTTTGCTGTTCTATCACCTCTCAAGCTGACTACAAGTTCTAGTTCAGTATAGACTAAATCCATCCACCACTGAAATCCCCAATAGGTATCAATCAACATGAATATCTTTCAGCCAAGATTGGCCTTGAATAAGGGCAGGCCCTCACAACAAAGCTAAAACAGACATTTTAGAACTGGTTGCTCATTTCCTCACCTAAGTCCATAGGCTGTGGACACTCTAGAAGAGAGAGGAAGAATCACTGGCAGCATGCCTGGGTTCAAGTCCTCACTCTAGATTTTTCTAGCATGGTGGCCTTGGCAAATCAATTAATCTCGCTGAGCCTCCATTTCCTCATTTCTAAACCAGGGATAATGATAATTACTCAAAAATGACTGGTGTTGCTATTAAATGCCACAGATGCATAAAAACATACCTTGTGAACCAAAAAGTGTTATGCAAATATTAGGTGGAACTAGTGTTATTTTGCCCAACCACATAGCTTCTTCAGCCGTGAAATTTCTCTTACCTACGCTCTTTTCATTCTGTCCTTCCCTCTTGGTATTGTTTCCTGTATTTTCATACAATCCTGATGAACCCTAGCCATTCCCTGACATAAATTCCCATTCTATTGTCCATCCTCACCCCCAAAATAGCTTCTCCTGCTAGAACCTTGAAACAGATTTTTTTTGTGAACATATTCATCTATATCCTTGACCTTCATCCCACTCACTCACAATTCCTCCTCGCATGAACTGAAGCCTGACTTAACCACAGTGCCTCCATTTTCCTTATAGCCCTCCCAAATCACAAGGCTTCAATAAAATCCCTTTTCACATGCAATATGATATTCCTAATTCTTAGTGCCTAACTGGTGGGTCTTAACAGTATTCTGAGCAGCAAAAGAGCAGAAACAACTTAATCCAAACCTTGTTAAAGCAGATTAAATAATTTCCCATTGGTATAGATCCTCACTGATTTTCTTTCAGCAAGGGAAAAGAGATGATTGGTCATACAAAACCTTTGGCATTTGATTATATACTCACTATCTTGAATGTTAATATTTTACAGAGAGCAAATGAATTCTTTCAGCAGACATTTCTCCTTGGTTAGGAGAATAATATGCATTTCAGTAACTTATAAATTCTTTGTAAAGAGAGTTACTTTGTTTCATTCTTTCTTTTTCCAAAACATAGTTTGTTTCTTCCAATATACCTTTGCCCAACATCTATCATGTGTGGGATTTGAAGTTTTGACACACATAAAGTGCACATCAATTGAAATAAATACAAATTGTGTCCTTCTGCTTCTCTGCAGTAAAGAATACATTTCACTTTCGAACGTTTGTTATGATCACAAGGAGAGAAGGAGGGGGACTTTCAGGGAAAACTGTAAATCTTGAAATGGGTAAAAAATATTACTGACTATCCAGCAAGTGCACCTTTCTGGACAATTTCTAATCATTATTGTCTTTCAATTATTTTGCAAATCTGTATGTTGTATAAAACTAACATAATGTAAATGATTCTTGTCCACAGAAAATCAAGTGAATTGTGTCTGGTGGAATACAGTTGATGACTGCCTGATAGATAGACTCATGCATCTTTTTGTAAATGAACATCACCGTTCCTCATTTCCTATGTAAGCATGGGTCCTTCAAGTCTCCTACGAACTGTTTTTAACATCTTACTAGTTTCCTCATTAATTAACAAAATAATACAATCTTTGCTAGCATTTATTTTTGATTTGCATGAATCATAATTTTACTTTTTTAAAAAAAATGTATCTTGTAAAGGTAAAGACTGTATATTGACTATGGAAGGTAATTCCTTAGAGACCCAAGAAATGTGAATATTTTTATGATTTCAAAATAAAGGTAAAAGGTATGACTTGTCCCTCAAAACACCTTACTTATATTTATTAACTAATTTAATCTTCTCAACAATTCTTAGAAAGGGGTATCATAATTATTCTCATTTTATAGAGGATAAGAGAAACTCAAGAATGGAAGTAACTCATCTGTATTCAAATAATTAGCATGAGGCAAAACCAGAATTCAAAACCTAAGCATTCAGGCTCCAGAACCCATGTGATTGGACCATCACACAATAGTACTACACATGGTGTTCTTGCCAAAAGAAGCCAGTACTACACATTCTTAGCTAATATTTAAACTAGAGTAACTCAACCAAAGGATGATTGGCATTTGGAGTTGAATAATTCTTTGTTGTGAGGTGTTATCCTGGGCATAGTTGAATGTTTAGCAGCATCTCTAACTTCTGCCTACTCAATGCTGGTGGCAACCTTCCCCACAACTGTAACAACAAAAATGTCTGCAGACATTGCCAAATAGCTCATTGCAGGCAAAACTGCCCTGCATGAGAACCACTGATCTACACTAATCGCTAATACAATCTAACAAAATGAAATCTTTGCCATCTTAATAAATAAGTCATCATGAAGGACAGAGAGAATTCTCCAATATCTATAAAAACAGTTTAATTAATCAACAAGTTGATTTACTGATAGAAGGCATATGCAGCAGTGATTACCTTATGGCTGACTGTACCTCATCAGCAGGAAGGGTGTGATTTTTTGAAGGGTCTGTCACCACAAACCAGAATGACACCCGCTGGGTTACATTGCAAAGTAAGACATGGGAAATTCTGCAGATAATGGGAAGGAAAAAAATACATTGTAAGTAAATATTACCAAATTTCATTAGACCATCCGCTCTGGTGTTATTATTACCATCTTAAGAGGCATCTTAGCTATGAAGGAAAAGTCATTTCTACCATTATAAAGAAAGGTATTATTAAGAAGAAAATTATATAGGAAATTTCCTTTGTTTCGAAACCAGATACTTAAGGATCATTCCTTAAGTAAGGAATCTACCAAAAAAGAGAAAATGAAGAATCACTCAGTAGAGAGCATTAGGGACCTCATTCTCCATCACCTGTTAGCTGACAGCCCCCAACTTCTCCAACACTCAACCTCTCTGAACCGCAGAAGCCTTTTGCGCTTCCTTATCAAGCTCTTTTTAGTGTTCTCATTCAGTTTTCCACCTTGCAGATCCAGAAAAATTTGTGGCCCACTCTTGATCCAATACTTGCTCTGCTGGCCACTATTTCTGTCCCTCCCCCACTCCACATTGGGGCCAGACAAATAACAGACCTGAAAACTGCAGTGCTAGAATTCATTTACCAAAAGCCTTTGAACACAATTTTTGCAGATGCTTTCCAATTAGAAATTGGAAATGTGCCTCACTCTGCTCTGTATTCATGAATTACCAGTAGAAGCGACAAAAAAGAAATGGTACTAGTGCATAAACTGAAGATGATCTATATATGAATGCATGAAATGTATAAAGGTTGAAAATGATAGAAGAGTCCACATTAAATAATCGTTGCTGGTACAAAAACATACAATCCTGAATGGGTTTCACCATTTCCTTAAGAGCAAAATTGCAAAAAGTGACATCAGCAGCTACTCTGGAAAATGAAACACACATCCCCTTTACTATTATAATAAAAGTAAATACTTTGTTTTTCCTTAAAAGAGCACTGAAGTGCATTATGCTGATTTTTACAGCAACAAAAGATAGTGCCCTTTTGTGATTTTCTGTACTTCTCAGAATCTGATAGAATTATTACATTTTCTCCCTTTAAACTTTATGCACAGATGTCAAGGCGCTCCTAGGCCCCTCTGCCCAGAGCTAAGTGCCTGGGACCAGCAGTAGGAAACTGAAGGTTCCCCTGGCCTCAGAGAGCAGGGGTCGATCAGTGAGGTTCCAGTGTGCACTGGGCACTGTCCTGGCATGTGCAGACACCCCGTGCGCTGTCCTTGTGCCCCTATGGCAACTGTCAGCCTAGCCCTGCACACTTTGCAACTGCAAACAGTAGGAATGTCTGGGAGCCAAATCCCTCCTCAAAGGCCCCGACCATGATCGTGAGCAGCTACCTGAGCAGATACCTGGGCAGGTACCTGAGCACAGTCAAGGCTGAGCTGCAGCTCCCAGCTTAGGTGCGCTGGTACTCACGACCTAGGCCCGCCCACTGCCAGTGGGTCTGGCATCAATGCCAAGTCACTCACATCCACCGGAAGCTCTGGATCCGGACCCGACACCTGCCCGCCACACCACCTGGCTGGGTCTACGCCCGAGTCCAGAGGGTAATGGTGCCCAAGGCTTGGCGGAGCTTTCCCAGCAGGCCGCACACTCCCCCGGCCCAATCCTTCATGGGGCTGGATTGTTCTGGCAATCCAAAGAGTTTCATGAAGCGGTGGCTTTGGAATGCTCGCAACTCCAAAAGCATCTGGAGTGTGGTGACCATCAAAATGGCTCCTCCTGAGTGCAGCGGGCGCTTCTACAGTGTCCACCCACCCAGGAGCGCCGGGACCCCTGTGCTGAGGAGTCTGTGCTGAGGACCCCTGTGCTAAGGAGACTGTGCTGAGGGCCCTTGGCCGATGCAACTAAGGAAAGGTGAAGTTCACCGGGCCACTCTGGTTTGAGACTCCCGACACCAAGAGGAGGCAGAGCCCAGACTTCGGGCCATCTGCCTTCAAGCTTGTACAGAGAAAGGGAGTGATCCTTTCCTTTGTGCCCAGGCCGGGGCCTCTGAGGAGAGTGTCTGAGAAGAGGGTACTGACCCCTGGCCTGACTGCCACCCTCCCTGAGCCTTCCCTGTCTGCCGCCCACCCTGCTGCAGGGTCACCACCAGCCCAGGCCACTGTCACCGCCTCAGCTGGACAGCTGGGAGGGGATCAGTACTCACTGAGGCCTGATGAACCCCCAACCCCACCCCAGGTCCTGAGAGTCGAGGCCCTGCCACCACCACCTACTGAGACTCAAAGCCACACAGTTCTTTTACCCTGGCGAGGCCTGCTCTACTCCTGCATGAGTCACTGACACCAACAGGTCACCTCCCGCCAGCCCAGCTGGCAAGTCTGCCAAGCCCCAGACCCCCCTCTCTCATTAGGCTGCAGAGCCCACATGCAGAAGCACGGCTGAGATCAAAGCTTTGCCTTCCTCCCGCCCACTCCAGCCTTCTTCCCAGGAACACACTTAGCAGGAAGGCGTCTTTCTCCCATTTGCCCAGTTTGTATAGTTAAAAGTTTGTTCTTATTTTAAATAATAAAAAGCAGCATTATTATCACGGAGATTGTCACTCTTTCAAAGATTCATGTATTAAAATTTCATCCAAACACCATGGCTTCTCCACCTTGGCACTCTTAACATTTGGGGTGAGATAATTCTTTGTTGTTTGCTGGGTTCTGTCCTCTGCATTTAGGTTTTAGCAGAATCCCTGGTCTCTAGCCTCTAGCTGCTAGCAGCACACCCGCATTGTGAAAATAAAAAATATGTCCAATCATTGCCAAATATTCCACAGGGCTGTGGGGGGCGTGTGTGTATGTGAGGCAGACAAACAGAAAAAAATCCATATAAATTTTAGAATTATTTATTCTAGTTCTGTGAAAAATGCCATTGGTATTTTGATAGGGATTCCACTGAATCTATAGATTGCTTTGGGAAGTATGGACAGTTTATGTTAATTCTTCCTATTCATGAACACCGTATACTCATATGCTTCCATTTATTTGTATCTTCTTCAATTTTCTTCTTCAATGTCTCACCAATATTTTTACTTATGCATCTCCTTGGGCAAGGGAAATGAAATAAAAAATAAACAAATGGGACTCTATCAAATTAAAAAGTTTTTGCACAGCAAAGGAAACCATCAACAAAATGAAAAGACAGCCTACTGAATGGGAGAAGATATTTGCCAGTGATACATTTGATAAGGGGTTAACATCCAAAATTTATAAAGAACTCATACAACTCAACAACAAAAAAATACAAACAACCCAATGTTTAAAATGGGCAGAAAACTTGAACAGATATTTCTCCAAAGAGGACATACAGATGGCCAATTGACGCATGAAAAGCTGCTCAACCCCACTAATCATCAGAGAAATGCAAATTAAAACTACAATCAGTGCCTGTTCAATGGTGGGCTATGCCCACCCGCAAATAAGACTGAATGAACTCGGCACCTTGAGCTGAGCTGCCGCCTGGATGGCTCAGTGGATAGAGCATGCGCTCTTAACAACAAGGCTGCTGGTTCGACTCCCACATGGGATGGTGGCTGTGCCCACCCACAATTAAGCTTGTAACACAGCACCTTGAGCTTAGAGGCCATGAGCAGCTAAAGGGAAGCCAGATGGCGACTGGCGCCCTCCACAACGAAGATTGAAGAACAACAACTTGGCTGGTCTCCCTCCTCCATTCCCCAACACTGTTTCCCTACCCCAATTCCCCAGTAAAATCTTAAAAAAAAACTATACTCAGATGTCACCTCACACCTGTCAGAATGGCCATCATCAATAAATCAACAAACAACAAGTGTTGGCGAAGATGTGGAGAAAAGGGAACCCTGGTGCACTGCTGGTGGGATTGCAAACTGGTGCAGCCATTATGGAAATCAGAATGGAGGTTCCTCAAAAAATTGAAAATGGAACTACCCTATGACCCAACAATTCCACTTTTGGATATTTATCCAAAGAAATCCAAGACATAAATTTGAAAGAAATATATGCATCCCTATGTTCACTGCAGCGCTATTTACAATTGCCAAGATATGAAAACCAACAATTCCCATCAATAGACGAATGGCTACAGAAGAGGTAGTACATATGTACAATAGAATATTACTTGGCCATAAAAAAAAAATCTAACTTTTTGTGAGAACATGGATGGACCTAGAGGATATTATGCTAAGTGAAATACGTCAGACAGAGAAAGACAAATACCATATGATCTCACTTACATGTGAAATCTGAAGAACAAAAGAAACAAGCAAAACAAAAACAAACTCATGGATACAGAGAACAAACTGATGGTTGCCAGATGGGAGGGTTGGGGGGCAGGGTGAAAAAGGTGAAGGGATTAAGAAGTATAAATTGGTAGTTACAAAATAGTCACAAGGTTGTAAAGTACAGCATTGGAAATATAGTCAATAATATTGTAATAATGATGTATGGGGTACTAGAGTAATGGGGGATCCCTGCATAAATTACATAAATGTCTAATCACTGTGCTGTACACCTGAAACTAATATAAAATAGCATTGAATGTCAACTTTAATTGAAGAAAGACAATCACACTGGTGGAGAACCGCTGAGGGATGGTGACCTCTACTGGCAGAAATAGTCAAGCTTGGTTTCCCAAAATGTGCGGTTTTAAAACACATATCAAAGATACAGAGATGAACAAAATGAAGTAGTATGTGCTTGGCAAAAACATTTCCCCTATTTTTGTAGAATGCTGATATGTGAATTATTCCTTGCTTTGCCTTTAGTAATAATCAGACAATGTAAACTTTTTAAAAAATGAGATACTTAAGCTCTTTGGGTAAAAATTAATATCAAATGCTTGTAAAGAGATGGAGAATTGGAATCCCAGGCAGTGTCAGTGAGCCCTGCCATTCTGGAGGGGCATTTGGAAGTACTTCCTAGAACAGAGTGCAGCTACAATCAACTCTCTAACACACACACACACAAACACACACACACACACACACACACACAGAGACAGAGAGAGACAGAGAGAGAGAGAGAGACAGAGAGAGAGAGATTGGTGAGGATGTTCTTTGCAGCATTCTGTCAGAGC